GAAGTATTTAATATTCATAAAATGAGATGCAAATTTGGAGAGTTGTCTAGCTTTCCTAGCATTTTTAATATTTTTATAAACATATATGCTACAGCGGAAAAAACTCATGTGCTAGTCATGGCTCTTTAGCGTAAAATATACAATTATAACCATGGAAAGTATTAGTCTATTATGTTGACACTAGGTGGAATCAAACCTCTTGAATACTTTGTTCTATAGTATGTATTGTTTACCTGGCTTTTCTACTTTGGGTACAAAATTTTGATTCAAATAAAGAAATCCCACCTCCATGAAAGGTTTTTAAGCTGATCACTTTATGAGGATGACAAAAAGATTTACTGAAACTATACTAATTGCAGCCATATAATGAAAAAAATAATTTAAAAGAATAAAATAATATGCATATGCTAAAATAATATACATATGTGTAGAGTTTTGTGTGTGCGTGTTATTTAGAATATTGTCACATCTATTTTCAGTTTGTCAGTCAGGAAACACGATAATCCTTAGCTGGGGTTTTTCAGATCATTCTCTGTATTCTGATTTAGTATGGATTTCTCTATAAAATTTCAGGACATCACTTCCTGTTACAAATAGGTTTTAGTTTGTCTCAGGCTATTTGTAATGGGATGAATATTTATTATTTTAGGAACTGTATAAATATTTGCCAATCTAGTTGTTGAAAGGACAGAAATCAGTGCCAATGCTTTAAAAGTTGATGTGCTAGAGTGACTCCCTGAGAACTAAGAGAGCATGCCATTGCTCCTGCGCCTTTCTCTCTAAATACCTACTAACAGCGGGCCTGTCTGATCTTTCAGCATGAATGGCAGCGACATAAGAATCTTGGTGGACTCTCTGGTATATATAGCACATAAGAGGTGGCAGGAGGAGGATGGTGCCTATTTATGCTGTTAAAATTTGCAAAAGACCACAGGTTGCAGTCTCAATAAAGAGTTCTTTTAGGGTGATTTAACAAAAATAGGATGCAGTCCTTCACCTTCGAAAGATCATTCTGACTTCTGGGAACTAGAGCCCAGACAGACTTAATGTACTGCAAATGATGAAGGCCTTCTGCTCAGCCATGCAACACACATGGGAGTCATGACAAATATGTCACAGAACTCAGAAGCACAATGAGGTAAATTCACAAGAATATGGAAGGTGAATTTACTTATCACCCTTTTGAAATATGTTGCCCTTCAGGTTTCTTGGACTCTGAAGCAAGAAGGTAGCCTTACAAGAATACTACCATTATTCCAGAGGCCTGAGCAGAATTTAATCTGACTTAAGCCTTAACTAAACAAATGGGACTCACTGAATATAATTCTGGAACCAATATTATTCCTCCCTCCTAAGCATTCATTCAGTATTGTTGTGGCTCTTTAACTTCAACTTTCTTATTCTGTATTTGTGTTAATTACAAGCTATATCCTTTCTTCCCTAGCCAGCATTCTTATCATCGTCATAGTTTTGCCTACTATGATGATATCAAAGATGTTTTAAATTCTTTCGGCAGAGATATTCATTTCTTGCTTGAGGTCCTTCAGGGGCTCAATTGTGTCTCCCCGAAGTTCATATATGAAAATCATAACACCCAGTACCTCAGAATGTAACTTTCTTTACAGATAAGGCCTTTACAGAGGTAAATGCAAACGGAGATCATTAGGCTGGGCCCTAATCCAGTATGACTGGTATCTTACAAAAAGAGGAAATTAGGACACAGGAACAGAGGAAAGAATACACAAAGACACAGAGAGAAAATGGCTTCTACAAGCCAGGGAGAGAAAGAGGCTCTAGAAGAAGTTGACCCCATTGGCACTTCTATCACAGGCCGCTGGCCTCCAGCATTGTGAAAAAATAAATTTCTGTTGTTTAAGCCATGCAATCTGTGGTACCTTGTTATGGCAGTGTTAGCAAACAAATAGGAGGTCCAAGCAGAAAACATATCCACATTGGCCAAAAACAGGAATATTAGAAATTTCCTGTGCAAGTCCGTTAAAATTACCTTCTCAGTCTTCATGCTACAGCAACCCAGAAAGGACTCCCACTTAACTGTTTCAAACTCTTCATTCCACAGCTGTGACAGCCTAAAAATCACAACAGTGAGTAATAACATACACCAATCTTCCTTCAAGGAAAGGAGAGACATTTTTGTCATGAGTAAGATATTATTTTAAAAAGCAGAACAAAATTAATACATATTAAAACATCTATTACATTTAAAATATTTGTGTAAAATTTGTTTAAGCTAGAAATGTGGAAGAAAAAAAATGATGGTTTAACAATTAAATTGCTATTTTTGTTTTGTATAAATTATGCAATTCTGTTTAAATTTTGTTAATATGTGAAAAGAGTTACAAGAATCTGTTTTCTTAATTATGCATATATGACTAATTATGAAGGGCTAGATAGATCTAAATTATCTTTTAATTTTTATTTAAATACATTGGTTTGTGTGGACATAGCTCAGCTTTACTTTAAATAGGTAAGATTAGAGGAAAAATTAGAATTTTTGCCATTGCTTTGATAATAGGAAATATAACCCATAGATAAATAATTCATGTCAACAAATAATTCCCTTATCTGAAAGGAGTATTTCATTGCCTAATATGTTCAAAGATAATGTACCCATCGAAGTTGATCAATTTAGGTCTTGAATTAACCTTGACCAAAATAGAGCAAGTATTTGTTTTAATTAAGAAAATCTTATTAAATTTTGTCCCTAAGAATAAAGGCAGTTATTCCTTTAAAATGGCTCATAACTCTGTGATATAAGGTCTATTTATTCCATGAATAATATTAATGAAGTTAAGAAGCAAGAAAGTAATTATCACCTAATCAATTTTCTCATATACATTTCTGTATTTCTTCTGTGGAAAAGGCATTTCATTTTTCTAATGGCATACATATTATTAGAATTCAAAGAACTAATTTCATGTTCATTTCCAAAGACAAGACTTCTCTTTGGGACTTAGTGATTTTTATCATAATTGATCCTCCTTGGGATCAATTGCTCTGTTAAGGTAACATTTGTTTAAGTAAGGTCAGACCTTTTAAAGATCCATGCATATTCAATTTGATTTAAAGGTGGTTTTCTTTTCCAAAATGTAATGATTCCTAAGTAGCTAGCAGACATTCTACAGTTGTTGAAATAAAATATATGTACACTAGGCTTTTAAGAATAAATAGAAACATGAGAACTATAGAAATCTCTTGGATGGCAGCAAAGCAATAAAGCGTATTAAGCTGAAATACACCATTGGGAAGAACACAGAAACCCCACTTGAGAGGTTATAAAGCAGATAAATAAGTTTGGAACCTTACATTTTATATGTTCAAGACAAATGCTACTGAATTAATCTATCAGACATGATTTGTCATAATTTAACTCATGACGATGAAATTTATGCATATGTTATAGACATCTTCATCTTGAAGAAGCCTATTAAGATAGTGCAAAACCTGCCAATTGTAAATCCTTTTTAAGTTGAAACTGGGGCCATTTTGCAAATTCCAGTGCTTATACTATACTACCAACAAAATACTTCCCTATTAATGATTTGTCATTTGTACTCTATTGTTTAGTAATGGGACTCCAGTCATGTTTTCATGTTCTCTTTGTCATTTTTATTTTAAACATGTTTTTGAATGTTCAAGTGCTTTCTATGGTATTTTGATACCAAGACAGTTTTAAAATTTTAATCTAGAAAACTTATCAGTCTTTTCTCTGCATTACAATTTTCTACCTTAAGGCTTAAAAAGCCCTTCCCAAATCTGAGATCAGCTAAATACCAGTGTTTCCTAGATCTCTTTATTCACTTGTTTGTTGTTTATTAGTTTATTTATATATTTACTTTGAATACTTCAATCCATCTGGAAATTTGTTTGAATGTTTTGGACAAAGCAATGGTCTAACTTCGATATTTGTTTTTAAGACGATTTTGCCATGTATAATATTTGTGGAAGATTTTATTTCATTCCTAATAGTTTGTAATGATGTAAGATTTCAGTCTGAAATATCAGTTGTTGGCATGCTGATGGCTAAAGAATGACCAAAAACACCAAAGTTAGGCAAGCATGGAAATGAGGTTTATTGAGGAGAGGAAGATAGGATTATAGGGCAAGAGCAAGATATAGGTTTACAAAGCATGGTACATACGCCACAGATGATGACCAGACCCATTGTAACAGCAAAAGGAAGGGCACAAAGCCAAAGGAAGGGCACAAAGAGAGAGAGTGGCTATGGTCTTCATCTTATTATATAGTGCCTGGATAGGGACCTCCCTCATGGTTCAGGGGTCATCATGGAACCACTTTGATTGGACAGTTGGGAGTCACATGACCTGAGTCTGAACTATGCATAAAGGTTGTTTTAGGTCAGTTTCCAGACTCTATGGTACCCATGCCACTTGGCCTCTGGGGAAGAGAGTCCTCTGCATTCTTTTGCAGCTGGTGCACCAAGTTTTGATGGGCAGATTCATAGGGTGCTCCCTCCTCCCCTTGTATGGAGAATTAGGGTGGGGCAGGACCAATATGGGGGCAATAGCACCCACTTTCATCCCTAGGAGACCCAGAATTCCTCACTATCTACCTAACAATGATGTCTTTATCACATAATATGTATATAATATATACTGCAATGATGAATTTTATGTGTCAATCTGACAGGGCTATGGCATGCCCAGATATCTTATTTCTTATAAACATTATTTCTGGGTGTGTCTGTAAAGGCATTTCCAGAAGAGATTGGCATTACAAGTGGTTGACTGAGTAAAGCGGGTGGCCTTCCCCAATGTGAGCAGGCATCATCCAATCCACTGAAGGCCTGCATAAAACAAAACCATGGAGGAAGGTTGAATTTGCTCTCTCTGCCTCATGGCTTGAGCTGAACATCCATTTTCTCCTGCCTTCAGTGCTCCTGGTCCTCAGGCTTTCAGATGCACACTGCAATCTACACTGTCTTCTCTTCTCTGTGCCTTTCAGGGCTTCAGTGTACACCACCAGCTTTCCCGGTCTCCAGCTTGCAGATGGCAGATCACAGGACTTTTCAGCTTCTGTAATTGTGTGAGTCAATTCCTCATAATACTTCTCATTTTAGATATATCTAGATATAAATCTATGTAGATATATATCTAAATATATATGTATATTTCTGAAAAACCTTGACTAACACGTATACAATATGCAGATACTTTTGTTTTTATTTTATGATTATTTGTTTTTTTCTATTGATCTGACTTCTAATCCTTACTCAGTACTAGGCCTATTTCATAATTGTATTATTTTGTTACCATAACAGGTTTCATATTTGGCATGGCAAATCTATCCTTATTACAATTTTAAAAGCATCTTAACATTCTATATTATTTGTCCAGATAATTTTGAGAATCAAGTTGAAGAAGGTAGAAATATTGGCATTTCATTGGCTTTGCATTAAATCAATAAATTAATATGGGAATAATTAATTTTTTAAATCATTCTATTTTTTATCCCAAAATATGGTATGTATCTCCAATTATTAAAATCTCACATCTTTCAGTACAGTGTGTGAAGAAGTTCAAATAAGCTTCATACATTTCTTTTTAAAGTAATTCCTAAGTATTTAAGGTTTATCTAGGTCAGGGACATCCTCAAACTACGGCCTGCGGGCCGCATGCAGCCCACCAAGAACATTTATGTGGGCCCGCCGGTGTTTTTGCTGCCGCTGCCTGTCCTGCTTAGCAGCTGACTTGTGCCAGGCCCACAGTGCACATGTGTAGAATGTGTGCCCCACTCCCCAACGGCCCTCCAATGGTCTGAGGGACAGTGAACTGGCCCCCTGTTTAAAGTTTGAGGACCCCTGATCTAGTAGTACTTGTTATTGATTCCATGTTACAACTTCTGAGGATAGTTGGTATGTAAGAATTCATTTGAATTTTGTGTACCTGTCTTAAATATAAACACTAGCATTCTCATTACTTCTAAGAATTTAATAATCCTCCTCTTCTCCCTTAGTTGCAGATCCCTGATTTTTATTTGATATATCAATGCTGCTTTAAAAAGGGTCTCTCAGTCTCACTTTCACAATAAAGATGATAAGGGCCACAGTTTATATAATAGAAGTTCTTAGCATTCTTGGGTAGACTTTTTGTGAAAAATCTTTAAACAGCAGGACAGACTCAACTAGTTGTGACCTTTCTTTTTTTATTACCTTTGTCCTGACTCTTCTTGCCCAGGGTAGATAATGATAATTAAAGCCCAGTAGCTATCTTGAAAACATGAACAACAATCACATCCTAAGGAAAATGGAGCAAAAAGTAGAAGAAGCCTCACTTTCTGATGATATCGTGGAAAATCATACCAGTACTGAGCTTAATAATAAACTTTCATTTCGTGTAAACCACTGTTTTTCAGGACTCTCAGCTGAGATGCAATTTCAACCAATATAATAGATACATAGTTTACAAATAGTGACAGTTTTTTCTTCTCCCCCCCATCACAGTTTTTCCACGTATTGTGCACGATCTTATTACATTGGCAGGACTTTACAAACCATGTCAAAAGATAATGATGACAGCTTCTTGCATCTGGAACTAAGATGAACATTCTTCTGTGTCCACTAAAGTCTTACCTGCCCTATATACTGATCATCAATACTTAACACATTCTGGTTCTCATTCTAGTGGCATCCTTAGAACTAACAGGCCATTGGATCCATTGTCATAGCCAAATCTTGGGCTTTGATTCTACCCTGCAGAGGCCATTCTTCGTTTATACTCAAAGTGATTAAAATGATCTCACCATGACCCCTCTTCCATTTGTAACTGCAGGGAATGTGAAGGAAAGTAACAGAGAAGATCGTGGTGGAGAATGAGTTGTTACTTATAATAGCCAATCAATGGTTTGGAAACTACACAGGATTCTATCGCTATACGAAGTTTAAAAATAAAGTTTCTGAAAGAAAATTAAAATCCGTGATACAAATGGGAAAAATTGTACCAAGTAAGTGAGATAAAAAACTAGCATTTAGCCTTTTATGTAAAAGCTTCAGGAAATTATATGTGGTCATGAAAATATTATATTTCAAAAGATCCTTTCAAAGGAAATGGTACAAAACTATCTTTGGAGGCACTTTTGTGATTATGAAAGAGAATTATTCCCTACAGAATAATGCACCTACCAGGCAGAAATGGAAAAATTATTTTTTTCACATGTAAGTGCTTCTGTGATTATCAATAAGAGCAAATATTAAAGTGCAAAGCAGGAAAAAAAATCAGATAATAAGTCCATTAAGAGTGATGGTCTGAAAAATATGAGTTTCAATATCTGATGCATTGAAACTCAATCAACTATTATTGTTAAATAAATGTAATAATAATTTTATTAAAAGTAAAGAAGTATGATAAAATTTATAACAACAAATATAAATTACAAAAAAAAAAGAGTAATACATTGAAGCCATGGTTTGTTCAGAGAGATAGTGATTAAATGGCTATAAATAATAGGAAAGTATAATGGCTGATTCCATATATAGACATATAATACATGGAGTATCATTTGTGGCAGTTAAAAATTTGTTATATTAAAGACTGCTTCACTTTCATTTCCTTCATTTCCATTGAATACTGTTTCTTAATCCCTCATAAGGACCTCTGAGGAAAAGAACACTACATTGCAATCTCTAATATTAAAATAATTCTATACCTGATGTCAAAAGAAGAAAAATAAAGATCAGCAATTATACATGAATTAGGAAAACTGAGTTCTCTCCTCTTAGCTAGGGCAGAATTAAAGTAGGCTGAAAATTTACCAGGAGAGCTGCGATAAAAATTAAGTGGGAACCCATGGAGTATAAAGTCTTCTCAGACCAGTTCCATCCTACCAACATACTCTACTTCTGCCAGGAAAGGAAGTCAAGAAAAAATTACAAAAAACATAAAATGTATGCTCAGGAAAGTTATCTCCTGAGCATAGAGTGATAGAATTGGAGTATGGTGATTTTGGAGACTTAATCTTTCCAAGGTGGGAGATCTCTCAGTACATTGGCCTTGTCTGCAGGCTAATTCTGCATAAGGTTGAAGATAGCTACTCCATACCCAAGCCATCTTCAAGTGCCCATTTATAACAAAACCCACAGGAAATGTGTCTCCTGTTCAGAAATCCTCAACCTATTGCTCTCATCTCAATAGCCAGAATTTTTCTTTCCTCAAACTCTAAAGAAAATTTTATGAAGAATGAGACCATTGAGATAGGCTTAAACCAGTGAAAGAAATCATACAATGGACCATGTCTCAGGGCAGGGATCATGGTGTTTTGGTCTTGGGTTTTGTTTGTTTGTTTGTTGTTTTCTAATCAGATACTAGCAAACAAAAAAACAACATGAACATTATCTATTCTTATTCTGTTTTTACCACAAAATCTTTTACTATGATTTGTCTGCCCATGTGGGCTGTCTACAAGAAGATAATGTAGAACTGTAAGACATAGTGTCTTGGCCATTTCACAGTGTTATCCCTCTCTAAAATAATCAATTAACTTGCTGATTTCATTAAAATAAGAAAAAATATATAATGTTACAGCTCAAAATTCCTAAAGCCAGCCTTGTTAAACAAAACTTCTCGAAGGAAGTTTCCCAGGATACTATTTACAAAGTAGGAATAGAAAGAGAGAATAAAAGTATGAATTTATTAGGTGGGCTGGTATCAAGCTTTTCAAAACAGAGCTCTAATAGAAATTAAATAGAGAAGAAATGTGGGTCCCATTGATTCTGTATTTTATAATGCAGAATTATGTATCAGAAACCATGTGTCATTGAATCTAAGAAGTCATTAATTTTAAAATAAATCATTAATTCATTTACCACTAAGAAAATAAACTACCAAGTAAATCATGACACCATTGTCAAAAACTGTAAAGTATCTAAGATTTTATTCTACTCAAAACCTAACAAATTGGCTGTCCATAGTTTTATGGATGCTAGTAGAAGACGTGAGACTCCTGGGTCAGAGATAAAGGACAGTTTATTACTTACAACAATAACAGTAGGCGGAGCATCTGCATTCTTGTGCCAATTCCCCAAATGCCCATTCCCGTATGGCAAAGTGAAGAGAACTGTCTGACAACTGTGAACATAGTAGGATGCATTCAGTGGAGGAAGTGAGTTAATGGAATCCGAATCTATTATAATGGGTAGTCAGATACTTTGCAGCCATCTCAAATAGACAATTTTTAGGTATCATTAGCAAAAAAAAAAATTATAATATGATAACAATAATTTCCAGTTCATGGTGAGCATTAAATGAGATAAAATATATAAATGAATATGCAAGGTAACTGGCAAATAATAAAAGCATTCAGTAAATATTTTTTGTTTTTTCCTTTTATGTTTTCTTCTGTGAAATAGACACTCCACAAATATCACACTCTAGCTTCCCAAATTCTATACCAACTAGTTGCTTAAAACATGACTTTCCCTTAATAGAGAAAAATGTTACATTCCAGAATTACAGCTACTTAACAAAAATACTTTCTTTGTATAAAGTGATGAAAGAACAGCAGAATAGGTGGATGTGAAGATAGACATTCCTCTATAGATAAAGAGAATATGGACAAAAGAGGAGAAAGAAATTCAGAAAGTAAAACTAGAGACATAAAAACAAATATAGTTTATTTTACAGTTTAGCATTTAGATGAGTCAAGGCTAGTAACAGCCCCACCTACGCAATACATTTTTTTCTATATGATCTCATTTATAAAGTAAGACATGGAAAGTTTTGTCCTAAATAGAAAGTGAAGCAGTTGGGACATTTCTAACAGACTAAATAAACTAATTAATTCAATCAGCTAACCAAATGGTCTATTAACAGGTACAATGAAATTATAAATGAATACAGGGTTGAATAAATGAATAAACAAATAGACAATTAAGTACAGGTCTACACTTACCCTGTGAATCTTTCAACATAATTTGGAGGATATATTGTGTTTCTGTCCAAGTGCTAGAAATCTTTCTAGTATTTCTATTTTCTATGTTTTATCAGGCCCAGGAGATTTGAAATAATTATATAACATTTCAAAGTAAATAT